AAGAAAGCTAAATTTTCTTTTAAAAACTAAAAAAATATAATTGATGAAAAAAGCACTGTTTGCTTTTTACCAGAAAGGCATTTTGGAAACAATTTGCATGAATTTTTTGTACCGTTCGGTTCTGCCTAATTGTAACCAACTTTCTAACCCGACTGGGTTTACTCCCGGTTACTTCGACCGGTATCACCCGGTCAATTTACTCTCTTACGTGTCACTCTCTGATTCGACAATCCTTCGGTAATCATTCTTCTACGAAACGGCCAGATCTTCTTAACGGCATTGCCATGTGCTTCTGCTGTCACCGTTAACGGAGCTAGGACCACATGTTTCTCTTCCCGTAACCGCCTAATTTAATCTCCACCGTTGATTAAATCTATCTACTTTTGAATTTCCTAATTTACCCCTACTCTGCGTTCTAACTAATTTCAGCTGTCACTGCTACTTGAAAGAGACTGTTACTTTTTCATTCTAAGGTAAATTCATATTTTTTATATACTCATATTTATTCATTGTGATGTAAATACATGAAAGCTACCATGGGAGAGTTTCTTAAGAAATGCGAGAAAATCAGGGGTGGAATGAAGGTGACAGAGATTGGAAATGGAGGTTTGAGAATAAGAGATAATGATGTGGAGGAGGAGGTTACGAGTAATTGTTCTATGAGCTCTTCAACTAAGAGAAGAAAATTTGGTTCTGTTACAGACGTTGATTTTAGTGAGAATTCAGCTTCGCCGGCTACATCTGTAATGTCTGTTCATATTCCGACGAATTCGCAGTGTTCGAGTTGTTATGAGTCTGGTGAAGTTATGATGAAGAGTATTTTGAAATCGTTAGATCTGAAGGTGAGGTTAAATGCGGAATGCATTTACTTCAAATTTATTGTTTATTTAAATAATCATTTTCTTATATGCCATAACTGCTTGAATAAATTCAAAAGATATTCGGTTTTAAATTTTGAATTGTGGCAGGCCGAGGAATTCGGAACGTACAATTCGGCTTCTTTTAACGGCGGTTTCAGGTAAACAATACGTTGTTATACGTTTCTTCTTCTTTCAGAATTTGAAGTGATAAATTCCTCTTTGGCTGTGAGTGAGTGTCTATTCATTCTTCAACTGGAAACCGTAACTCCAAAAATCTTCTCCATTACTTGAGTTCATTTCATCTTCTATATAATTGTTGTTTTACGTATGTTTCTGTTTATCTAATTTTGTTGTCGTTGATTTCTCAATTTTCTTTTTGGAGCAGTGAAAATTTCAAGCCAATTGATCTGCCGAATCCACCTAGTGAGCATTGCGGAGACTCGGAAGATATGGAGTCATCATCCACGACAACCAAAAAATCATCTTCGTCTGCCAGTGCTCCCCGGAAACAGCCGTCTGCGTCGAAGGTTCCACCAGAAGCAGAGATCGAAGAATTCTTTTCAGCAGCGGAAAAGCGCGAACAAAAAAGATTTGCAGAAAAGTAAGTGCTAAAAGCTTCGGGTGCGCATGATAAGAAAACATACACCCCACAGGCTCATTTTAGTGTGACCCCAAAAAAGGTGAAAAAAGAGAGGGATATGCTAGTAATGATTTCCTTGTAATGGTGCTTGCAGGTACAATTACGATATCGTGAAGGACGCTCCATTAGAGGGACGTTACCAGTGGGTTAGTTTGAAGCCTTGAAGAAATAAATCAATGAAGAAAAATAGAGATTAGAGTACAATTGCTGAAGGGGGTTTACACGGCGGAATCCAATACTCTGATCCTTTTGAATTTCTTTCCATTTCTAGTTTTAGATCAGCATTTACTATTTACTGTTTCAGCTTAGTTTAGCTTTATCGGTGTACAGCCATTCGTCTTTCCATATTTGTGTAAAGAAGCTATTTATGTGAAGCCTTGTTGGTTTTAGTAGTGCCATAACTGAACCTTGTTTCTGCAATTTTGCAACCTTCCTCATGAGTAGGAACTATCTGCATTAAAAAATGTGTGCTGTTTGGTTCTGTTTTTGGATGGTAAAAAGTACACTGAGACTGACTGTGCGAGCCAGTGATTATCTATCTGTGTTGGGCATGAAAAGATGGTGACCGATCTGGAATTTCAATTTGAATATACAAACTAAAAATTACTAGCATTGTTGTGTTGTGTGTCCACTTTGTTTGTTTTATTTGGGCGTATTTTCGGTTTGTTTTTTAAGGGAAAAGGATAACGAATTTGTGTAAATGTTGAATGCCTGTTCTTTTTTTTTTTTTTAATTGAATTGTCTTTTTTACTTTTTTTGGTTGGAGAAGGAAGAGCGCGTCTTTCATGGAAATGTGGGCATGCATATGACTATTTCGTCGGGCATGTGATAGGACTTGAGAGGATCGATCCATTTAAAGATTTTTGTCATTTAGTTTTTCTGAAGAGATGGGCATACTATTTTGAAGGAAAGAAGTAAATGATATTTGCCCACCGGCCACAAAAATATGAATATGTCTGGATTGCTTAATTTGCTGGTTGGTGAAGTAGGGATCTAGTTAATTTCATCAATATTTTGTCTTCTAATCTTGAATACATCTCCAAGTATTTAGCTTTGTTTTACTCTAGAAATATAGTAGTTGGAAAAGACGGTTAAAAAGGACATAGTCAACTATTGATATTATTGAACATTTTATTGGGAGATAGAAACTGCTAAGGTACAAAACAAAACAGAGAAATGTAGTCAAATTTTTCCAAGAATAGAGAAAGACGGAAGCTAGATTATAGAACTAATTGGGTACTGTTTGGCTTGCTGATCTGTGTGATTGTTGGCATAAAGTTTTTCTTTGATACTTTATTCTTTTTCAAAAGAAACCCCATAAAAGGAAAAAAGAAGAGAAGTACAGAAAGCAAATGTATGTACCTTTCCATGGGACCCTTGTGTTAAGCAAGAAAAATCCACCAATCACATGTGAAGTGTACCTTTTAATAAGTGAGTATAACAAAATACATGAACCAATATTCTTGAAACTATTTACTAGTTGGTAATTAGAGTTGGACAAATTTGAATTACTAGTATATAAGTATAGAGGGAGGTGTGCACGTGCCGTGGAGGAGTGGAGGTGAGCTGACTTCCATGTGCTTTGGATCTGATGCATTCAAAATAGAGAGGGAATGTTGTTAATATAATACTAATGTATTGGATCAATCAAATAAGAAGAAGAAGAAGGTTGGTTAAACAGTTTAGTTTCGAATTTCTCACTTTAGTAAGTAGTATGAATATGATCATAAAAATGGATTTCAGTGCTGGTGGAGAGTGGAGAGTAGGAGACAAAAGTATAGGGGTTGGGGACCATGTATATTAGTGGAGTGAGCAGTAAATAAATTACACATTTATTTAATTTTCGGCTGAAGGTAGTGGCAGTAACCCTGCGCCCCCACACTCCTCCCTACAAATAGACTAACACACTACAATGGTGGTCTATTTTTTCTAGTCCAATAATGTGTCAATCTCCCCATCCCATAATAATCTCCACCTCAACATTTTTTTTATATACCATTAAAACATAAATCTTCTAAGATTTTGTACAATTAGAAATTTCATATCAGTAAAGTATTAGAGAATGTTTAAGAAACTGTAATTACAACAACATACACAATGCATGTATCCCATAGGTCAGGTCTAGTAAAAAGTGTATTTCAATCTTACTTTTATTTTGTGAAGATAGATATGCTATTTTCGATAAAATTGGGCTTAAGTAAAAACTTATAAAAAACAAGTATGAAAACAATATGAGGTAATAAATCAAAAAATATGATATGTTGGAGGGAAATTATAACACTACAAAAATTAGACAACGCACGATTATTTACTGATTAATATTCTACTTTAATCATCAACAATTCTCCTATCTATGGTCATGTTCTCGATAAAGTGTATGTGTATCATGTCTTGTCTAATCACATTTTTCCTAATACTTTTACAGCCTACCTCTACCTCTTTTCATGCCCACCATATTCAACTTCTCATAACTCCTCACTGAGTATCTGTTTTTTTTCTATTGACATACATGAATCACATCAATATCGCTTACCTCATCTTGTCCATCACGAAGGCCTCCCACCTAATCTTGAATATTCGTTTCAATCATATCCTTCATAATATTCCCACATATCCATCTCAACATTCCTTTGGATTGCGAGTTTTTGACCAGTCAACACTCCATCCAATCAAAATAGTTGGCCTAACAATAACTTTATAAAACTTACTTTTAAGTTTTATTGACACATTTTTGTCACATAAAAAATCAATGTGAGGCACCATTCCATTAACCCCACTGAAATATGATGAGTAACATTATCGTCCATCTTTCCATTTTCTTGGATTACAAATCCAAAATATTGAAATTTCCTCTCGTTCGGATGACTTTTGTATCCATTTTCACTTTCCCATATGCCATGTGAAAGTGAAACCTCCAACCTATCGTTTCGCCACATATCTCGACATCAATCAATACTATGTAATTTGCAAATAACATACACTATAACAATTACCTTTAAATATGACACGTTAATTCATCCATTATCATCGATAAATTATTTTTTCCCTTGAATTTCATGTCTAATTAAACAACATCACCCAAAATTGACATAGAAAGATAAGTAAAAATATCACATTTCCATCATACCAGATAATGAAAAAGGGAGCGAAGATGTAGGAAATTAAAATTGACATTACAAAATTGTTAAGGAACGAGTTTGACAGATCAAATTGGATATTGGAGATACACATGGATTAATATAACTTTAATTTGATAGCAACTTGTTCTCACACAGAGAATATGCTTAATTTGATACCTTGTTATGTATTTTTCTTAATTCTTAATTATAAGACTAAATAAAGTGATTATCTTTTGACCCTTCGTTCTTTCTGCCGCATTTAGGGAAGTATAATACTGAATCATATCCAAATCCGAGTATATACTGATTAGCATAATTTCCAGCTCATCATTTGATACACTTAATTGTCACAAGTTTATTCCAATACGACGGCGTTATAGGCTTTTTCTAGTAGCGTAAAAATCGGAGGATAATCATCCTAAACGCGTGCTGACAATCTGAGGTGGCACATGTGCGATATTGCACCAACTACACCACCCACATTCTACCTTCATCTCTCTCTACTTTCCGATTCACCTTCCTCCTCTTGCTTTTGTTATCGGAGTTTTTTGTTGTATCGGTCATGTCAATCGACGGTGGAAGATTTTACTGGGAGAGGAATTCTGATGAAAAGGTCAAAGGAATTGTGATAATCTTCGCTTGGGTTTCAATTCAGGAAACTGAATTGAAGAGCTATGTTGATCTTTATGCTTCTCTTGGTTGGAGCTCTCTTGTCTGCCTTGCCGATTTCGCTACCCTGTAAGCTCAATTGAACTCTTTTTTCGAATTACGAGTGTGATTGTGCAAATTTTGACCTATCTGTGGTTTTATCATTCCATTTATTTTGTGTTTTTTCTAGTAAACCTCAAGCTAGATTAGGAGAATATCTAATGACTAGAACTAGCTTAACGCAAGCCTATTAGTATGGCCTATGTGCTTAAGTTGTCGTATTTTAGTATTGAAATTGGTGTTGATGGTTATATTTTGTGTTAGATTAAATTGGTTTAAGTGCTCATATTTAGTTATTGAAAATTGAGTCTGTATTCATACAGTGGTAAGGTGTTTAAGATCTGATTGTTTAGTGAGTTCACATAAATTAGTTATCTTCCTGATACAGGAAACATTGGCGCATTTTGTATTTGACTAGTAGTATTTTCTCTAGAGTATTAAGTTGCTTAATTTAGATTTGAGTTTACAATTGTGGTTGTGCAAGGGAGCATGCTGGAGTTTTAATGGACATCGGCAATTCCTGTTGTTGGTAAAGTTTAGTGGCATGACAATCACAATAAACCTTTCCGAGGATAGGAAATAGAGAGTTCGATGATGTACATGAGCAGATTAATCTTTTGCAACTTTCTTCAAATGTGTGGTTCTTTAGGAAGCAAGTATATTGTGTCTTGCCATTCCAACTTCCCACAAGACTATTATTGGTTTGGAACTTCGAAAGTTGAGATGCACTTGGTGTTGGACTGCTGAAGATTGATTTCAGGAATGCCAGTTTAGGCTAAGGATTATCTTTCTTTTTTATGTGATTGAAGGAGACAATAGAGAAACCTTGGGTCAGGAGATGGGGCATGGTGGAGATGTTATGTGATTCTCGTGTGGCAGCAGTATGATTTACACGTACTAGTATGAGGCATTGTGTATTTGGTAGTGATGGAAATTTTCAACAATTGAAGCATCAAGAAGGCGGAAATTTGAGTGTAATGCATCTCTGTTCTTGATGCTTATATAGCCATTGGCATCAAGCTGATTTTGATCATATATTGATTTCTTTTCTGGTTTCCTGTATTGCAAATATATCATGATCTGGATTTTGTCTCGTTTTAATGCTGCATCATTAACAGTGTACACCAATGAATATTATTTGTTCCTTTTTTTGGTTGGTAGTTCAAAAGTTTGAGCAGTGAATAATCTATGCAGATACATACCTGAGAAGGCTACATCACTGGCATATTCTCTTCTGAGAGAGCTTGTCGAGGTCAGCTGTTTATCTTTGCTTTTGCTAATGTTGGTATACTTTGTCCTATAGGGTTTTGTTGACTGTATGAGACAGAATCTGTGAAACCTAATTTGTGAACGATGATGGGATTATGATGATATAGTCATAACATGCAGTTGATTAGTAATTTGTTGGCCCAAATTTCCCATTTTCATGTCCTAATATTCTTATCTTTAAATATCTAGGAGCTAAGATGTCGGCCTTGTCCAGTTGTTGTGGCAGCTCTTTCTGGTGGTTCTAAGGCCTGCATGTATAAGTTTTTTCAGGTATAGTGACTTCGACAATCACTCACAAGACTTTTTGATGTACACTGTTTCACTTCTGGTTGAATTCATCCTTTTTTTTGTGTGTTTGCATCCCCTATGCTGCCTCGTCGAGGTGTCTTGTGGGTTTGACCAGCAAATCATGTTGACCTAAGGGTAAAGTCCTTGGTCTTTGGTTATTGGAGAGCAATGCGTTTAATACTTTCCGCTTGATGCAGATTGTTAAAGGGAGATCTGAAGCTCAAGTTAATCTGGTACGCAATTCTTTGAATCTGCTGTGAGGTTGGAATACATATATTGCTATGTATTCAGAGATCCATATTTTCCCCTGTGATAAATTATTGATAGCATTAACTATTTGTTGAATCTTTCACTCTTTTGCAGGAGGACAGCCAATTGGTCATTAACTGCATCTCAGGTCAAATTTATGATTCTTGTCCTGTTGATTTCACTGCAGACTTTGGAGCACAATTTGCTGTGCCTCCCACAATTCTAAAGTTCCCCGGCTCCACAAAGCTACTGTCTCTGGTTGCGAAAGGTTTTACTTCTGGATTAGATGCCCTATTCATAACTAGGTTTGGATCCCAGCGTTCTGAGTATTGGCGAACTCTTTACTCCTCAGTTGTAAGTTTCAACTAGTCGGAAGTCATTTTGAAATTCCTAATATGTTATCCCTCCTAGTTGATTTATCCTGTTCCCCTGCAGAGTTTTGGGGCCCCTTTTCTCATTTTGTGCTCAGAAAATGATGATATTGCACCATATCAATCTGTATCTAAATTTGCTCACAGCTTGCAAGACATGGGAGCAGATATCAAAATGATAATGTGGAAGAGTTCCTGTCACGTAGGTCAGTTGATACTACAGTAGTCTCTTGCTGTATTCTTTTCTTGTCATATCATTACGGTGTTTCAGCATTTTTGTTCTTCGGACACACTGTTTTCTGTATCTAGCGCTTGTATCCCTTTTGGTTTTCTCCGGTTACTCTGTGCATATACTGTTGGTTCCAATTTTCTCTGAGTTCGATGTTTTTGAACGTGTGCATCAAACATTTATCGTTATCTTGCAGGTATGTACAAGAGTGATCCCATCCAGTACAGCATTGCTATTGATCAACTACTTGCTCAGGCAACTTCAGTTTTCACTAGCAGAATTAAGAAACTAGGAGAGAGAAATGGCTTGGATGATATGCATGATGAGATATCTCACATGATTTGTGACCTCCAAAATGCAGCAGCTGACTCGAATGGAAGTTTTAGAAGAGTTGCAGGGGGACCAAATGATCACTTTTTCTTGCCAAGTTCATCTGACCGTCAAAATGTTAGTGATTCTGGCTCTTCCTCCGAAGAAAGAAAAGATCTGCCTATTTGGCCAAATCCCAGTTTAAGTGCACACACTGTGCTTGGCCAAATCCTTTTTGATGCTTGTGTTCCTAAGAATGTTGAAGGTTGGGATGTTAAGTATACTTCTTCCTTAAAAGGCCAACCATTTTCCTCAGTGCGTAAGCATTCGCCACTAAATGCTATCAAAAACTTCCGCCGTTCACGGTTATGAGGCCTTTTCTTGTGGAACTCACTTCAGCTTTTCACATTTCTTTGAGATGCACTGTATGGTTAATATCATAATTTTACCTCCATGATTTAAGAAGTTTATGATGAAATATTGGAGGTCACTTTTCAAGGTGAAACTGACTAATGATCTGATTTGGCTGGCTACTAGAACGAAGTGTACAGGTTAAATGAGTAACACATCTCCTATCTTAATGGGATGGGCAGACATGATGTGGTGTGTATGAGAGCTGTTAATATATGGAAAGCAGCATGTACCATTTGATTGGTCTGGGAAGCGTTTGTGCCACTCTTCAGTTGCTTCAGGTGATGTGATGATAAGAAACTATTTGGGAGCCTTTAGCAAGTGGTGATTTTATATATTGTTCGGTAACATGTACATAAGGCACTTTTACTTGCTTCTGGGAATATGACGTTTCTGTCTTCCCACACATGTACATAACGTATCTATTCTGCCAGAGACTCGTTAGCATATGAGATAAATACTGTAGAACTTTGCTGTATAATTATGAACCTGGATCAGCTATGTATTCTGGCTGTGTATATATCTGGAAATTTTGCAATTTTGTCGAACTCTGTTATAGGTCGGAAAACCATTCCCCTCTTTTTAGTTGGTTGATGACTTCAGGAAGGTGCAAGATGATAATACTAACTGAGAATGCTGTAACATGTTGCGGGGTTACCTTACATCCTTTGATGAGTAGCAGTTGCATGCCACCTACTGTCTCAAGTAGGTAAATAACCCACAAGGCATATAATATCGTGATACTTGGTTGAGTCTTTGATTATAGGTGTGATATTCAGTTTTCAGAGTCTTCATTTTTCTTCCCCTTTTTCCAAAGGCGGATCTAAAATTGCAATTTATGAGTTATGGCAACCCCTTGTTTCACAGAACCTATTTGTGCAATTGGTTCACAGTTTTCATATGTACATTTTAGTTGATTTTTTAATATATATATATATAGAGTTTGGGTCTAAGTTACTAGATTCTGATGTACCCGTTCCTTGTATTACGTACTGAACTAGCCCTTTTCAGATCCTCTTATGTAATTTAACAGATATGCAAAATACCTATGCACATCTTTGAATCCAAGCAGTTAAATTCTGCTTCTTGCATTTCATTACTATGCACAATGAAACTTATTGGCTTCTAACTACTTACCTTTCTCATTATATGTGGTTAAAGAATGATATTTTTTTATATTAGAAATAATAATTCATTTGAAATTTCTTATTTTATTTTTAATGAGATAACTAATACTCTTACAAATATCAATTTTTTTCAAATCACATGTTTCAATAATTTTTCTCTCTTAAATGTCTTGGCAACAAATAATTATAACATGGTGGGCAAAGATAATGACAAAAAACTTTAGGCCACATGTTATGGTAGGCAAATCGGCCTCAGGACCAATACAAGTGAGGCGGCTAGGAGTCGGTGCCTCTGTATGTTGGACTCTTGTCTCTTCTTTGCTAATTTGCCTTTTCTTGTCCCTGAAATTGATGGTACGTATATTTGTAGACTTAATATGCCATAATATTGCCCGTAAGGTTGGTGATCACCATTCACGGTGGAATACTTTAATTTCACTTCAATTTTTTTAAGGATATTACATTTACGAATTTGAAGAAAATCTAAAAAAAAGAAAAGAAGACGGAAATTATTTTTATTATATATATAAATATTTAAACGTATTTTCACCTTTGTTCTATTTATTATGATGATGATATATATGATCAGTTTAGATGACGAAATGAAAATTCATATAACCGAATCCAACTTATTCTCCATAATATTCTCATAAAATATCTAAATCTGAAGAAAAGTTTTAACAAGGTTTCTTTGTTTTTTTATAAGAAAAATAAAGTTCTTCTTTAGTGATCATAACACATCTTTGTATTTAGTTTTCAATTTTCGAAATGGAGAAAGAATAAATAGTTGAATTATTGCTTATGATGTAGAATTCCAAGAATGCGAGGACAAGGAAGAGTGGGCTCCCGTCAAGTAGAAAAACTGAGGCCAACCAGTTAATTTCTTATCATCACCAATAGCCACACGCCTCTCTTACCCATTCATAGTCCCAAAAGGGTACCCTTAAATTTACTAAATCACCCACCAAATATGCTTCACTTGCCACAACTTTTTCTTACGAGGCCTAAACTATTAGCTATCCAATTCCACTGTTCTAACTAATCTAATTTCGCTCCCAATAAACCTATATTAAGAGGGGTAAACTTAGAAATCTTGATTAATAGTAGAGAAATTCTAGAAGATATATTTTGTTGTCATGTAGTTCAATTTCAATTCTCAACTCATGACTAGCAAGGGCGAATCTAGGAGAGAGTGAGAGGGTGTTCATCTGAAATTACTCGACAAAAGTTTATATATATATATATATGCGGGCTGTTATCCTTAATTGGATGAAACAGTGGTTGACTTGGCTTTCTTGGTATCATACTGTAGCATTACAGATTTTGAATCCCTTGAATACAAGATTAAAGGTTGCCTCATTGATTTAGAATTCAACATTCACCTTAAGGTTCCAGCTTCAAATCCTATGCACTGGACCGCGCCACTAATAACTAATACGAACTCGAAGTTTCCTTTTATAATTCCCAAAACCTTTTTCATAATCGCTCTCTTAATTATATCATTTCTAAGAAACCTCAAAAATGACTATTTCATTATATTTCACCCATATCCAAATTGTTTATTAAATAACCATACTATTTTATGTTGTTTCTACTCTAATATTCTTAATTAATTCAGTCATTGCGATAACACATTATTTATAAATTTCACTTCACCGCATCCAATCCCTTTTTATGGTCACCTGACACCAACTTGCTACAATGTTTGAAAAGTTTAACGGTAAAAGGGACATTCTTGTCCAAACTTTATTTTAACATTAACGACCCTTTGCAACAATCAAGAGTCCACTAAAACGTTTTGCCACACATTCATTCACTCCCACAGCTCTACAAAATGGTCTGACATCTCTTTTGCAACTTCCAAAATGGCATCTTTTTCTATCAAATTTTTGGCACCTTCATTGCCAAATCCAACTAGATTTTCCAAGAGTACTATTGTCAAGCTCAATGCAACTCCGCCGCAGACAGTGGCTGCGGTGGGGCCTCCAGAGGTTGCTGCTGAGAGACTAGAACCAAGAGTTGAGGAAAAAGATGGATATTGGATACTAAAAGAGCAGTTTAGGCAAGGTATTAATCCTCAAGAGAAGGTGAAGATTGAGAAGGAACCTATGAAGTTGTTCATGGAAAATGGTATTGAAGAGTTAGCTAAGATTCCAATTGAAGAGATAGATCAATCTAAGCTTACTAAGGATGACATCGATGTTAGGCTTAAGTGGCTTGGCCTCTTCCATAGGAGAAAGAATCAATGTAAGTACTCAACCTCAAGTCCACACCATATGTAATAATAACTAACTCAACTATCAAAAGCCGATTCAGAATTTAAACTTTATAGATTCAGTTTGTTTATGGCAATGACACTATATGTTATGGTAATGACACTAAAGGATTTCATTTTTTCATTTTTTAAAAGTATTTTTAAATATTAATTTGTGATTAGATTTGATATCCAAATTCACAGTCGAATGTAAAGAAGTTTTACTCTCGAAATCTAAACTGTACCACATATAAATTGGAACAGGGTGAGTATAGGTTTTCACATGTATATCTATATTCCGTGTCAAAACTGATGCATTCGGTTGAATCCATCATTTGTATGGTGCACCCGCCTCTATCACATACATCTCATCCGCCTAACTCTGTACTGCATGAAACGCCTTTTTAAAACACTGATTTTCATTACCAAATTTGGTGTGACCAGATGGGAGATTCATGATGAGGTTGAAACTTCCAAATGGAGTAACAACGAGTGCTCAAACTCGATATTTGGCAAGTGTGATAAGGAAATACGGGGAGGAAGGATGTGCTGATATTACGACAAGGCAAAATTGGCAGATTCGTGGGGTTGTGCTACCTGATGTGCCTGAGATTCTGAAGGGACTTGAAGAAGTTGGCTTGACTAGTTTGCAGAGTGGCATGGATAATGTCAGGAATCCAGTTGGAAATCCTCTGGCTGGAATTGATCCTGAAGAAATAGTTGACACAAGACCTTACACTAATTTGCTCTCCCAATTTATCACTGGTAATTCACGAGGCAATCCGGCAGTTTCTAACTTGTAAGTCTTCCATACAGTATATATGTCGTTGATTCGTGCTATAATCATTTTGTTGGTTCTCTTGTGTGAGAAGATTAAAGTGGTTTCATTAACAGGAATTTTGCAATGTTTTGATTTTATTGTAGGCCAAGGAAGTGGAATCCGTGTGTAGTAGGCTCTCATGATCTTTATGAGCACCCTCATATCAATGATCTTGCATACATGCCTGCCATAAAAGATGGACGATTCGGATTCAACCTGCTTGTGGGAGGGTTCTTCAGTGCCAAACGATGTGATGAGGCAATTCCTCTTGATGCATGGGTTCCAGCTGATGATGTTGTTCCGGTTTGCAAAGCAATACTGGAAGCTTTTAGAGATCTTGGTTTCAGAGGGAACAGGCAGAAATGTAGAATGATGTGGTTAATCGATGAACTGGTGAGTGATACATCGGTACATTCACCGTTGTCATGCTTGCTTTGTCTCAAGTTTTAACAAATGGCCTCAACAAAGTTTTCTAAGTTTGATTTGATAATGTTCTATAGCAAGTCCTACTTCATGTAATGGTGAAAACTGATGGATTGGTTCTCATCTAGAGGGGGGTATCTGTTACGTAGGTAGATCAGAATTTTCGTTAGATGGTCTAACTTGCTCCAATTTCAACTAATGCAGGGTGTAGAAGGATTCAGGGCAGAGGTCGAAAAGAGAATGCCTCAGCAAGAGCTAGAGAGATCATCTCCGGAAGACTTGGTTCAGAAACAATGGGAAAGAAGAGATTATCTTGGTGTACATCCACAAAAACAGGAAAGCTATAGTTTTATTGGTCTTCACATTCCAGTGGGTCGTGTCCAAGCAGACGACATGGATGATCTAGCTCGTTTGGCTGATGAGTATGGCTCAGGAGAGCTACGGCTGACTGTGGAACAGAACATTATTATTCCCAACATTGAGAACTCAAAGATTGAGGCACTGCTAAAAGAGCCTATTTTGAGCAAATTTTCACCTGATCCACCTATTCTCATGAAAGGTTTAGTGGCTTGTACTGGTAACCAGTTTTGTGGACAAGCCATAATTGAGACAAAAGCTCGTTCCCTGAAGATCACCGAAGAGGTTCAAAGGCAAGTATCTCTAACGAGGCCAGTAAGGATGCACTGGACAGGCTGCCCGAATACGTGTGCACAAGTTCAAGTTGCAGACATTGGATTCATGGGATGCCTGACTAGAGATAAGGACAAGAAGACTGTGGAAGGCGCCGATGTTTTCTTAGGAGGCAGAATAGGGAGTGATTCACATTTGGGAGAAGTATACAAGAAAGCCGTTCCGTGTGATGAATTAGTACCACTTATTGTGGACTTACTAGTTAACAACTTTGGTGCAGTTCCACGAGAAAGAGAAGAAACAGAAGACTAATAAAATTTGGATTAGATTATAATGATGGAATGTGCAATTATGTCTAGAGATTATGGAGGTATATAGTTGAGAGCTGGTTTGATTTATCAGAAATATGTTGTGTTCATATCATTTATTGTTACGATAAATCAACACAAACATTCCTACCTACCTGAGAATTATTACATACTATATTCTTTTGAAGCAAATTGCATCCATCCTCCTCTATTGAATATTATTAATACCGTGTTGTTCCTTGTAACTGCAATATCATTTTTTTCGGATGTCATGCTTCTTTGAGTCAGTTCTTGCAAGAGATTTGCTCGCAAGAACTGATTCTCTGATTACATAGTTTCAGTCTTTGTAATTGCAAAACATGTTGTAGTGACTAGTGAGTACAAAGAGACAGCAAGAAAGAGCAAGATTTCCTTGTTTCTTCAACTTCCATCCTTCAAGACCCAATTTTTTTTTTTTTGCTCCCTGAAAGAATATACTAGAAAGATAATATATCCCTTTTATTTTCCTAATTAGTTTTTGTAAAAAAAGGAAAAGAGAATTCCGTTTCTTTACAAGATATGGAAAGGATAAAATTGGAGAATTTGGTTTCTATAAAAATAAAAATCAGTAAATTTCTACCCAAAAACTATATAATTCTAATCCTAATCCACTAAGGAAAACGAATTATAATCAACAAATTCTAATCCTAATCAACTTAGGAAAGATGTTACCTTCTATAAATACAGTATATTTTTCACGTCTCCTCATAGTTTTGCCTTACAAACCTAATCTCTTTTGTTCTCCTTAATTTCTTTCTCTGCTTTGATGGCTTCTCAATGCAGCAGCCGCTGTTTATTGATCTTGTTTTTACTCTCTTCCTGTCTTCTTCTTGTTTCTTCTTTCTCTCTGGCGAAAGAAGCTGTACTACTTGGTCCCTTTGATTCCATATACAATTTAGGGGATGCTGATTCTTCTTTGACATCATCAGCCACTAATCATATTTCTGTGACCCTCAATTTGCCTTCTCCACAACCCTACACCCAAGAAGGCACTGAATTCGTCGAGTCTGGTCTGAATTTTGCGACCCCTGGAGCAACCATCATGAAACCCTTTTTCTTCCTCAAGAATGGCATCCCACCACCTCCTCAGTCTCATGACCTATCACAGATTGTCACATTCATGAAGTTCTTTTATAAACATTGCTTCAACTTTCATGACTGTGGAAAAAACAAGCTTCTTCAGAAGGCACTCATCTTTATGGATCAACCAGGCATCAACGACTACAAGCAGGCTTTTCTACATGGAAAATCTATTTCCGAGGCATCCCATCTCGTGCCTGAAGTGGTGGAGACCATTAAGAATTCAGTTGAAAGACTCATCAAAGAAGCTGAAGCTAAAACTGTTATGGTTTCTGGAATTGTACCCATGGGCTGCTTTCCGGGTTATCGAACTCTGTTTCCTGAAGGCGATTCAATTGACAAAAGCAGATGCCACAAGGGACTGAATATGTTCGCAAAGCTTCACAATGATCACCTTTGGCAAGCAGTTCTAGAGCTGCGTTTGAAATACCCTGATGTTCACATCATATATGCAGATTACTACAAAGCGTTCATGGCCCTTCTAAAGAACCACGCCTTTCTGGGATTCAAAAAGAATACTTTGATGAAGTCATGTCGTGGCAGTGGCGATGGTCTGTTCAACTTTGATATGCAGAAGAAGTGTAAAGATGACGGAGCATGTTCTGATAGGGCTTCTTATATACATTGGGATGGATTTCAACTGACCCCCGAGGCTTTGGAGAACCTGATTGATACACTCTTCAGCCAAAAAGGGTTCATATTTCCAGAATTCAAGTTTGGAGAAGATACAGCAGCAGTAGAAAGGCATCATTCCAGGAATCAAAGACATGTCTTCTATTGTTAGGCATTTACTCTTCGTCTAAGACAGTTGTTTATGTTCAGTTACGTCTCAGTAAATAGTATGGGTTCAAAGACTAGGCCCTGAGTGATTCATACAGAGGAATGCCCCTCTTAGCTTCTGTAACAACTAACTATAATTTTGAGTTTTATCAAATAAAAGAACCCTGATTTAATTCAAACATTATTCTAGAGATGATTTAAATGTTTATTAAGTACTCTGTTTATCTTGTTGTGTTATCTTTCAACCTTATTCTTAAGCCTGAGATTAACAACTAAGGGTTTGACTGTTTGTATTCTACCAAACTTTGGCGCTCAAATAATCTATTGAATCTTCTTTTACTGTTCTGGTGTACTGTTTATCACATGCTCCACTTCAATACTCACCATCAAGGTTCCAATAATATCTATCTAAGATGACGTAAGAGACTAAACACAATGTCACCTGCAAACTTGCACATATTTTCGTTATTAGTTCAGATATGCTCTACAATATGAGAACATCTCCCTATCATAAGGAGCACTTTTACTGTCCTACCATGCTCGACACGTATGATAAATGTCACCTCCCAATCGAGAGAAAACCTCAGTCATGCAGGGGCATCAAGTCAATGGCAATAGATGGTCTTTTTTCCAAAGGGAGAACCTCAAAACTCATAGGAATCCAATTACAGTGAGAACAAAGTAAAAGCAATACAGAAGAGATACACTTCTTTGAAAGGACGTGTACATTAGGGATAAATCTAAAAATGTTTACAATGAATATTATTAACTGCGATACCTATTTTTTTATTGCAAAGAAGCTTTCACTTTCTGCACAAGAACTAAAAACCAAATCCCCTCCTGAAGCGAAAACCAAATATCTTCGAACTTGGTTGATCCAATAGCCAATCAATTGATTGCTGTAGTAAAATTTGCCAAAAGTAGCAATTTGCCCCTAATAAAAATAATTTCATCAGTCAACAATACTGGCTTGCAAATATCTTGTTTTCTAAACTATGAAAGAAACTTCCAATGGTAACACAGTGATACCCAAAACAAAGAATCACTTGCATTGCTGTCCTGACTACATTTAACAGCTTGAATATCAAAGGTAACTGGTGTTTCTATTAACAACATTTTAGAAATTCATAATTGAAGAATTCCACATCACAAGGTTAAGTCAATTACTTAAATGGTCAAATATTAAAGAGAAACTTTAATCACACAGACTATTATAAAGGGATTACAAGTATAGTTAAGCATAGTTAAGAAACCACACATTATTGGATGACTTTGTCATCATAACATTTACATTTAAGTCTAAATGTATTTCAAACAGCCTTTAAAGTTGGAAGTTCAAATTGTTGCTGAAAGTATTCAAGAGCAGTCAAGAGAAACCTCTTGTCTGAGTAAGCATTACAATCTAGACCTTAGCATAGAGGACATTCATTTAATTGGAAAGGAAGTAAAAAAGGGCACAAAATCAGCTTAATGCACTGCAGAAGGAATACGAGTTTTGACTCTCAGAACTACTAATCTATTATCATTAATGGAGTACCTTTTATTCGGGAGACCGAGATTCAGTGCAGGCAGACTTACTACTACCAAGTACAAAAGATTGCATTCAAGATTCCCTTTGACCCTTTAAAATATGAAAAGAGCACACATGCACCTTACAATAGACAAAAATATGTCTCAAACAAATAAAACGCCCAGCAAAATTTTCTCCCTTTCGCATTCATAAAACACCTTTTGCCAAGTATTGGCACCTGTATTATTTTTCTTTATTGATAACCAAAAGAAAGGTGCCTGTATCATTTTTAGGGCACAAGTAGCAGCGAGTTTCAATATGGAAATGAATCTAATTTTAGGAGAACAAATATTATTACCAGTTCAAATACTTGTCGCCAAAAAGTTACAGTCCATTCTGTTCAGGATCAGCAACTACTGAATCAGGCAGCGTCGTTTCTACTGACTTCCTAGGCCTTCTGTACCAGAGGAAAGCAAACCACAAAGTTCTGAACAATGCCCCATTTGCAAGGTGTGGGATAAAAATCCGACCCCAATATGGATAATATGGTCCCGGCAACTTTAGCAGTGTGAAGAAAAGGCCAGTGACAATCAAATGCCAAGGAACATCTGCATTCTAACATTGTAAACAGAGCAAGAAACATGTCAGAATACAACCAGAATCCATTCATGTTGTTTTATTCTTGGACAAAGAAGCAGAACAACTCTAGACATATAGCACAAACATGTGGTCATCATTGCAAAAAGCCAAACCAGGATAAGTTGAAGTTAGCGGGAAAAAGAAACAAGGATAGGCAAACAGAATAACAGAGATGGAAGAGTTTGTTACTGTAGAAAATAATTGCGAACATTTTTTCAATCTAGTTTCCAAGTTTTACCAACTAGGCAATGAAACTCTAGAGGCCATCTAATAGATCACCTTTTCGTTTTGTTTGAGAAATGATCTAATAGATGCATTTAAATTGGTAACATTTCATATTTTATTTATGTAGAAGACATAATTAAGCAAAACGAAAGTGTGCTTTCCCTTACAACTCAAGCTTTTAGATGAGGTGTTCACACATGAAACACAACTGTATCAGCAACATGGAATTTAACCATCAACAGTCTTCTACTGGAATTTCATGAACAATGTAGAGCAAAACGATCACCTTGAGATATGGAGATGACTCCAAAGCTGCTGACTTTAAGATGCCAGCAATAGCAACACCAGCAAGAAAAGGAAGCAGGGTGATATAAAGCTTCCTCTCATGTGCACAGTAAGACAACTCACTGATTGAGGTAACTACAAGTACGGGTACATACAAGTATTTGGTAACTGTCAAAACAATGTCAAGAATAAGTTGAACAAAATGGTCCAGAGCTCTATTCCAAGGGAAACTCTTGACTGGTGCAGGAGTATTGTCCCACAATTTCCTTGCCTGGTCTATTACGTTCTCCAAGTTAAATTTGTGAGGTTCATCTGATCGTCCAGCTGCTATGTTCATATTGCAGATTATTTTTGGTCTTGAAATTGGACGTGTCCCGTTTGATCTGATGCTCAAAATGCACATATTAGACTTAGTCAACGATGGTAAAATCTGCCAAGATAGAAGGAGACTGTCATCCAGATTGAGTAAACAGGAGAAAAGAAGCAAACCAGGAAAAAGAGGAATAACAAGAACGACAACAATAACAATAAAGTAAGAGCAACAAAAGCAAGAAAAGAACCAAAACAATGGCAACAGAAAAAAGAAACAACAATAGTAGTTGTACTAGTAGTGGGTACTGGACAACAACCAACCACTAACCTAGTAATCCAAATGAAGGGCTACAAACTTTCTCAAATTAAATTGTCAAACAAAAAAGGAATGAAGTCAGGGGCGATTTTATGTATTAATTTTGGGTCATCCGAACCCGTGGTCATCCGACTAAACTCGATATATTACTTCTATAATTATTAAAGAATATATTAAATTAAAGCTTGTTGAACCCGTTCTCAAAATGGCTGGATGGTTCACTGGTATCATTGCAAGATTTCAACTCACAGGTCGCAGGTTCGATCCCAGGCAGCCCCAATTCGCTCCAATGTATTTTTATTAACTAAAAACACATTTTTCCTTCAAAAAAAAAAGTTCTACAAGTCAAAACTTCAAAAGTTTCCTTCCCACACACTTTCCAAGTTCCAACAATATTTTTCTTCTCTCTTCAAATTTGTTTTCTATTTTCCACACAAAGAAGAAGCTTCAAGTCTCCAACTTCAAGTCAAGAATTTAGAGAAATCATCATTGTCAAAGTTTAAGGTAATTTTAGTTTGTGATTTCTCTTTTTAATAAACAAACTAACAAGATAAAAAACAATAATATATATATATATATATATATGTATATATCACTTTAATTTTAGGATTTTCATATAAAAAAATCTTGTCATTATAATAGGAAATAATCAATAGCTAAAGAATTGATAATCTCAAACTTACATATTTTGCGGATGTAACTTGTAATGAATAAGTTTCATATTATATTATCAATTTTGAAGGGTGTGATTCTTTTTTTTTTTTAAATGTGAAAGGGGTGTGATTCCCTTATTTTTTAAATGTGAAAGGGGTGTGATTCCTCTTCTTTCTATGAATATGTGATTTCGAATGCAAAAGAGGCATAAGTCCTCTTTTTATTATGAATGTGTGATTTTCTTATTGTTAAATGTGAAAGGGGTGTGATTCCTCTATTTTAGTTAGATTTGCAAGGATTGTGATTCCTCTATTTTATTTGAACTTGCAAGGGTGTGATTCCCTTATTTTTTATTGTGAAAGATATGAGATTCTCTTATTTTATTTTAAATTTGCTAGTTAAATTTGTGACTAAGTTGAATAGTTATTTGCAAGAATAGTTGACTAAGTTGAATAGCTACGGCAAGTGTGGAAAGAGCATTCTCCTCAATGAAGCTCATCAAAAATGATCTACGTAATAGCATTGGTGAAGAATTTTTGAATGGATGTTTAGTTTGTAAGATAGAGCGGAAGATATTTGAAAATGTAAGTAATGATGCTATTATAGATCGTTTTCAAAATATGAAGTGTCGTCGAGTACAATTGTAAACTGATGATATTTTTTGTGGTAATGTAATTTTTATGTATTGCTCGCTTAGTTATTGTTATTATAAATTTTTTGATCTTATCTTTAAAGCAATGGTGCACCCGTTTTCTTAAAATCCTGGATTCGCCTCTGAATGAAGTAAGTGACATTCCCATATGGATGTAAAATATAGAATTAGATGGTAGCTTGGTTTTAATACAACAAGAACCTGAACAAATGACTAAAAGAAGAACAAAGAGAAAAGCCTATCAAGTTTCAACAACCAGCTGTACATGGATATGAGAATATATCAACAACAACAACAACAACAAGTAGGGTCTGACAGGATAGAGTGTACGCAAACAATACAAAATTTCTCCGTGCCATAAGTAAAGAAAAATTCCAGTAATTATCAAGAAATCCAATTCTTTAAATCAAGAATCACATACATGCTTAAATATTTCAAGAAACGCATAAAACCACGCTAAGAATTTAAAGAATAGAGTCTAATAATAATGGAAAAA